GGGAAACATAAATAGACTCTAATCTAGGTATCAGATGAGATGTTCGGAAAATGATGACTAAATTAGCATATAATTATCTAGTAGTGAAAGCTTACCAGTACACAAATAATATCTTCTTGACATTCTAGTGTAATATTATATTTCTACTTATTAATAAAATAATAAAAATCTTTATTTTTACAGCTTCTAGACTGTATAACTATACCAGTAGTAATATTACTGTCTTATACCGTGTTAAGAGTGAGATATAGAATATACCACTTTGCTGGCGTTGGCATTTGTTTACTGGGAGTTGGTGCATTGGTTGGTGCTGATGTATATGCTGGTAGATCACATAGTGGAGGTAAGATACAACCAACTATTTACCTGTTTTAGATGGACACTCCACATTTTAGAGAGGTAATGAAAAGCTTTTTGAACAAACTTGTTTGCTTCTAATTGACAATGTCGTGTGATTTACAAAATAGCAGTAAATATTCAACACAAAATAGGCTACAAGGCTGTGCGTACTGTCTTTTAATTTTTTGGTTATAATCCTAAATACAAGTAAAATTTTGAGGCCACAATGAAGCCATGAGGAAGCGACAATGATGAAACAACCGCCAAAGCCAAAATGTTACTTGGTGATAAATTCAATATGGACACTAATATTTTGTCCACCTCAGATTTAAAGCAGGAGGGTTGTCACCTGCGCGGGAATTGAGTCCAAGCGACCATATCAACATGCGATAAAAACGCAAAGGGTCAGGGGTAGACACTTGTTTGTAAACAATGACACGCTATGGCCATCTGACGCATGCGCAGGTGACGACTGCACTGCTTTAATAAGATTAATAAGATCAAAAACTGTTGAAGTGATGGTACAGTGGTAGGAACACTGGATAAATTAAAAACATTTTGCAAAATTGTGATGTACACACAAAAATAACTTTTAGCGACATTATTATTCTTTCATAATTCCATACAAAAAAATGTTATTTCTTTGGTTTGCTATGAAATGTATGTAAACTTCAAGCTTTGATGATTGTAATCTTTTTATTTGGCCATAGAACAAGGCATTGATGATCGCATTTTGACATAAATTTGGCTTTCTGGCAACAAAATGGTGCAGCATCTGATGTTTTTATAATCGCTGATTTCTTTTTTCTCTAAAAATCCAACCATTTTTCAAAATTAATTATTTGAAAGTAGTTGCTAAATAATAAATATGACGGTAATTATCTCCACAGGTTCTGATAAATTTCTGGGTGATATACTGTGTTTGATTGGTGCCTCGCTTTATGGTGTATCAAATGTAGCAGAGGAGTTCGCTATCAGAAACTTTAGTAGAGTGGAGTTCTTAGGAATGATTGGATTATGGGCAAGTCTGATTAGCGGAATTCAATTGTAAGTTAATTTTTAATTCCTTTCATTTGAGACGATTATGCTTATTTATTAAATAAATATAATTTTCATCACACATATAATTGACATGATGTAAAGAAATTTATGAAACAAATGCAAAGTTTGTTTTTGTCATCAGCCTTTACATGAATAGCAAAAAAAATCACTGCTGGAATTTTTTATAATAATTAACATATACTGTAAAGGGGGTAATTATTCACTGGGTTTTAATTTAGCTTATTTCCCTGACTGGAAAATGTGCTAAATTAAAACACAGTGAATATGTAAAATTTAGCATAGAACACATTATCTAAATGACGAAACCGTGAATTTAAAACTCACTGAATATGCCTGAAATGGTAAATTAGTGAAATTTAAACCCAGTGAAAATTAGTCATTTTACAGTATAACACTCAGTATGAACATGGAGCTCCATGGTATGTATCTCCCCCCCCCCTCAGAAAGTTCTTTATTTGTTCTGTTTGATTTCAGCGGGGTGTTAATGTGCTGTTTATCAGGCAGTGAGGTTTCAGACCTCCTACAAATTTGCATATTGTAGGTCTCGTAGGTTTGGTTAGGGCTGGAAAGGGCAGGCCGGGTTAACACAAGTGTTTGAATATGAGATCATAACTCAGTTGCAGATTTCATGTGCCTCTATAACATGTTGTAGCTAAAGACATTGGAATAATGTACTTTTCTTTATTTTCATTTGCAGAGTAATTCTTGAGCGGCATGAATTGACCAATATTTCCTGGAATACTGAAGTAGTATTGTTGTTTCTGGCATTTGCTGTTTGCCTATTTCTATTGTATTCTGTGTTTCCTCTAGTTATACAAATCAGCAGTGCTGCTGTTGTAAATCTGTCTATACTGACAGCTGATTTCTACTCACTGATGTTTGGACTGTTTTTGTTTCATTACATGGTAAGCTTTTGTTTATTCTTTATGCCCCACAGCATTTACCTTTCCACCACCAGTTCTCTCTTTTTATCACAAATTAAAGAATAGTCCAATTTATAGTCTGCACTTTCCTTCAGAAGATGGAGACACAACTGGCCAAATTTTTGGGGTAAAAACTAAAAATTGATGCAAATTTTGTCTTTTGGCTCCAAAATTAGGGTTCATTTTCAGAAATAATGAAGAATAAAAATAAAAAAAAGTGCAGAATAATTTGGTCGAGGAAGTTAGGTGAATAGATTAAGACAGAATATGTATTAAATAGTGCTTGTTTGAAATAACAACAAGTCATTGATATGTTACAAACAAGTAATGAATTTGAAGTTAATATTGTCTTTAACACTTAAAATCATTTAACAACATGCAAATAAAGCTTGATGACTTTTATACTTTAATATAGCAGAACTTGACATATTTGCTATTTTTATAAAACTTAAAATGCCAGGATTTGTGACCTTTAGGGAGAAGGTCTACTTTACCCCTCATTAAACATTGTTTAATGAGAAGACCTCATCACTTTGGTGATATTACAGCATAGAACCATACATTAAGCTTCAGTTTCTAGATATTGTATTTGTCTATTAAAAGAATATAATGTGTTCACATCTGTTTTTGTGTTTGTTTAACTTACATCTATGTAAGAGAAAAACAGATGTGAAACCAAGTCTTTAAAAATGACAGAGTTCACCCCCCCCCCCCTCGAACATACATTACACACTGTGTGGGACCTGGATACTTGTTACAAAAACAAACTGGCTAACAATATATTCAAGTTTGAAAAAGATCAGATAAACACTGTTTAGGTTGCTATAATCGCAAAAAAAAAAACTTGAGTTTTCAACAATGAGAGCAAATGTTAATCCTTGTTCACATCAGTTTCATCTATGACATGGGCGAGGTGAAAATTAGACATTTTCACAAACCACAATTATGTGATTTCTAATTAAATTTTATATGTATCCTTTCAGTTCTCTGCGTTATATATCTTTGCATTTATGACTATAATTATTGGTTTGGTGGTTTGGGGACTGAAACCAACCGGGGAAGTGCCGAGAAACAGTAACTATGCTAGAATGGATGCCGAAAATGCCGGATCAATCCAAAGACTGACACCGCAGGATGAACCCTCAATTCATAATGCAGCATCTGTTGAACAAAGTGCTTCCATTGAAACTGATGCACTCAATAGCGACGATCAAAAATAAATCTTCTATAAAACTAATGCATTTTGTTCACTTTCTTTCTGAAATATTGTTGAAGTCTTGTCAGCAATGAAGTAAAAAGTCCATTGAGTCACAAATTTAACAAAGAAACTTTGCATTCAAAATGTTAAACATTGTCCGAAAACGGGGACTTGTGTTTTGACCTCCGTGTGTGCGTGCGTGCGTGCGTCTGTGCGTGCGTTCGGACCTGTATAATAGAAATGCCTGGACCAATCACAATCAAATTTCACACATACATCAATACATGATATTATACATATGCATGTCAATTTGTTTCATGATCTGATTCAAGATGGCCGAATGGCGGCCATTTTTGTGCTAAAAAATCCTAAAAATCAAGCATTTCTCGGCTGTTTACAGATAGATTTTGTTCAAACTTGGTATATACATTAGACATTATGAGACCTTGATGCAAATAATTTTGTTTTTCAGATATAATTCAAAATGGCCGACTGGCAGCCATTTTGTTTTAATGAATGGTTCTTGTGCCATATCTCTGACTTGCTTTCACTGATTATGTTCAAATTTTAAATATTTATTATACATCATGTCATAGATAGACAGATATATTGGTGTGACGATCATATTCAAAATGGCCAAATGGTGGTAAAAAATCATCACATGTCAAACATTTATAGATGGATTACGTTCAAACTTGGTACATACATTAGACATTACGGGTTCGTGATGCACGTCATTTTATTTTTCAGATTGGATTCAAAATGGCTGACGACGGCCATTTTGCTTTAATGATTGGGGTTCTAGAGCCATATCTCTTAAATGCTTTGACTGATTATATTCAAATTTTATATATTCGTTATACATCATGTTGTATATATATACATGTATTCAAAATGGCTGATTTTGAATTCTGTTCCAGAGCAATATCTCTCAATATGGACAAGTACTTGTTTGACGACCAGATACAAATGTCAATCATTTTAATGTTAAAAAATCATATTCCTGACATGGTTATATTCCAGCTATATTACTATAAACAAAACTATACATCTTAAATTTGATAACTGGGACTGTGCCATGCATGGCTTGTTCATTTTTATACGCAGTGGGCCAGTTCGTATAGTATTAATTTTTATTGAATATTATTTCACCAATTCACCAAGATCTTTCTTTATTGTAAAAACAAAGTACATTTCTAGTTTGGTACATGAATACATGTAATAATAATACATTGGAAAACTTTGCAAAACATGTATACAGGTAATACATGTCACTTGAAAACACTTGGTAATTTTTACACTGGCTCCTATCAATGTTAAGCAGTAGTTATTCCACAACATCCTATTAAAACAAACAAGTCCTATATTCTGCACTGAATCTGTCATTGTG